GAGAACTGTGTTGAATAGAAGTGGTGAAAGAGGGCATCCCTGTCTTGTTCCAGTTTTTAGAGGGAATGCCTTCAATTTTTCTCCATTTAGAATGATGTTGGCCTGGGGTTATCGTAGATAGACTTTACGATGTTGAGATATGTTTCTGTTGTTATCCCTAGTTTTTCTAGCGTTTTGAACATGAAAGGGTGCTGTATTTTGTCAAATGCTTTTTCTATGTCTATTGAAATGATCATGTGATTTTTTTCTTTAAGTCTATTGATGTGATGAATTACATTTTTTGATTTCCTTGTTGAACCAACCTTGCATCCCTGGGATGAATTCCACTTGATCAGGGTGCACGATCTTTTTGATATGTTGTATTTAATTTGCCAGAATTTTATTGAGAATTTTTGCATCTATTTCTTTCATTTCAAGAATATTTTTTAGCACCTCTATCTCCCTGTTGAGGTGATCTTTTGCTTCCTGTATTTGTTTATCTAACTCCTTGTTGAAGTGATCTTTCACTGCCTATATTTGCTCTCTTATATCTTCCTTGAGTTCCCAGAGCATTGTAACCATGTATATCCTAAACTCTTTCTCTGTCATTCCTCTTGCTGTGGCTGCCAATGAGTCTAATGATGTGGTGTCTTCATTTGTTTTGGACACTTTCTTCCCTTGTCTTTTCATGTTGCTTGTATGTCTTCCTTTCCAGCTCTGTGGGTCTAGATTGTTACTGTTTTTACCCTATAGTTTTGTAGTGCTCTTGTAGGGTTCCAAGACCTCTCCTTTGTGGGGAAGGACAATGTTAACAGATCCCAATATCAACAATAAACCACCTAGGAACAGTTTGTTGTTATTAAGATGTTTACAATTTAGTCTCGATGTACACAAATGTTGGATTCAGTTATTTTCTAAAATATGATCAGTAGGTTTGTAAAAAGGATTACAGTTTCTGACAGTGGACAATAACTGGGGGTGGGGCTTAGGACGATATTCTGAGGAGGTAGGATGTGAGTCAATATATCTTAGGAAGTAGGAAGGAGAAATATAGTGAAGAGATTTAGTAGCAAAAAGAAAGTAATTAGGGTAAGTATGTGGGAAGACAGTAGAGTACATAAAATGAACACACATATGTATTTAGAAAAATATGGATGTTAAAACAGTAAAATCTGGAGGGGGCAAGAAAAATGAAAGAATAAAAAGGAAAAGAAGAAAAAAAGGGGCATATTCAACACCTCTATATTAATCAGATGACTCAGACCTCACAGTCCTATTTCATGCAAAGTCTTGTTTTCACATACGTTGGGGATATGAGGGCCGGAGGGTGGAGGGGTCGAAGAGAAAAAGACAAATAAACAAACAAAGCAACCAACAAACAAATAAACAAAAAACTCAAAGGAAGAAACCAGGGTTGTAGCTAGCTTTAGAGATCCATATCTTTCCTGCTTCTCTTCTCATCCAGTAGGTGGCGT